ATGCAGCCTAAGGGGGTAGTGCTACATGAGGTTGCCAAACTACTTTAGGCTATAAAATCCACCATTGGTGGATCACTTTTCAGAGGCATTTGGCAGACATATTTGCTTCTCGCCACCTTCTCGGTTATCCCTAAACCAAACAAAAAAACCATAAAAAAGACAAAACCTATAGACTCATCTCTTACAAAAGAATGTACAGCTGGTTTGGAAATTTGAGTTAATGAAAATGTAAGAAAGTTTTTCTTTAAAGAACAGGATGGTTTTATCTACAGTGCGCAAGCATTATACAGTTTTTGAAAAATGCTGATTAACATTCACATTGCTAATATGAATCAGACTGCCTTTTAGCTCTCATCCTGAGAAGTAAAAAGCTTTTCATAGTTTATCTTGGCATTGCATATTTGTGTTTCTGAACCAATTCTACATCAAAGACATCACCATCAAAAAATTCCTGACTTTACAGCAGCGACCTTATCACATGCCTGCTCTCTCTAGCAAAAGCTTAGCTTTTTAAAATTACCAAACATTCAGGGAAATGCAGTTAATTATATGTAAAGTATACAGCTATCCTGTTCAACAATGACCTTGTATTTACCCTAAAGTAGAACTATGGCATTGCATTATTTAAAAAATGTGCTTCAGCTCTTAATTATAGGTCCCAATGCACTTACAGTTTTCTCATGGTCCCCCTGCAAAGCCCCTGCTAGTAAAATCCACCTAATGCAGCTTCCTGTGATGGTGTGATAATGATGCTGCACTGCTCCTTAATTCAGAGCAGCATTGTCACCCTGATGTAGGCTGTGCCTGCTTGCATTACAGTGGGATGAAATGTTGTAGGGTGCTGACTATCAGCATGGTCAACACATTGTACAGTAAGTAGAACACCCTCAGCTCGTACTGCAACTTGAAAATGAGCAGAGATTCTCTTTATCAGGGTTGGCTGTATCAGGGTGGTCAAAATGATCACACTACTGTTAATTCTATATTTTAGGACCCTCCATATTCCTGTCAAAAACATAGGGGGTTCCCTTCCTGGGAAATTAACCAAAAATCTTGTCAAAGTAATTGGGATCAGAGGAACTACTACAACCAGCATATAACATTAACCGTAAGTATATTAATGCACACCAGTATGGAAATAATACAAGCTTTATATAAGAAAAAATAAATACTAGTACATAAAAAATCGATATGTATAAACAGGTATTATCAACAAAGGACCTAACAGGAATCCTGGTGAAATTGTGCACATATACCCAAGTATATACAGTAATTAATACAGACATCTCCAGATGAATGTTGTAGCAAAGCTTAGTTGCAGGGGCCCCTAAGGATTATCACAATGCGGCGTTCATGGTGTCAGAGACCTGAAGACAAGACCCTGTGATGAGAAGACACTCCAGCCATTGTCTAAGCAGCCTGGAATGCAACTTTTCACCAGCAGGAACTGTGGTGTGGCACTGGAACTCTGAGTCAGCCTATCTACTCTGCAATTTAATCCCTTCCTACTAGTTTCTAGTCTGACATGCAACTGGACCACTAACTACCAGAAGTTGTCATCAGATGCCTAACCTGGCTGCTTATGGAGCCTATAAGCAGCTGCAGTTAAACTATTAAAACATAGGAATACTTGCATAGTAGTCTCAACTACTGGTCTGGGTCAAAATACAACAGCAGCAACTCCCCTGGGCAGGATATGTGTCTGAGAATTTCTCTCTCCCCTCTCTCTCTCTCTCTCTCTCTCCACTTTCCTCCTTCTGGACTTTCCTAATCCAAACCACAGAGGTAGCAAGCACTATTACATAATTTTACATAATACTGTGTCGTTAGCACTATAGGGGGCCACAGATCCCTACACTTCCAAATCGCAATAATTGGTTGGTTCACACCTGAATCGCACAGGAACTCAGACCATATTCCTGTGTGATTCCTGTGCGCTCAGTGCAGTGTGATTTTCAGCCAATTCATTTAAATGGGCTGAAATTGCACTGGATTGCACATAGAGTAGTGCATGCACTGCACAAAAATGCACCATGCTACTGGCACTGCATTTATGATCTATGTTTGGGATATCATCAGGGATTTATTGACACCACTGCAGATCATGCGTTCTGAACACGGAGCAGGAAACACACATGGGACATGGATTTCCTGTACCACGTTCTGGTGTGAACGAGCCTTAGACCACATATAACTGAAAAAAAGACAATTTTCACAAAATGTTAGGGACTTTTCACTTCCAAATGTGCACAGTTACTATTAATTTGCTCAGATTGTTTTTCTTAGGTCAGCGGGGGTACCATGGGTTATTCACCTGCCACTCCACCTCAGCCAATCAGAGTAAGCCTTGTATTCATTCAGATAATACAAAGCTTCCTGTAAATGGCTAAGCAGTGCTTAGTCTGACTAGCTTTTGTTCCAGGTACGTGATAGGAAGTCCCAGTCCTGCTTTTGGAACACAAATCTGTATAAGTGTATGTAGCTGAGACTACATACAGTTTATACAAAGCTTACAACGGGGGCACCTGTTAGTGAAGCAAATATTTTTTCGGGACCAGCTTGGTCCATCAAACCGCTTTAAAAATGACAGAAAGCTGGAGTTAGGTTTTACCATTAACCTTCACAGAAACACTAGAACCCATTTACAGGGGTCATTTAGATATTGTAGATGTGATGGTCAGGTGTCCACAAACTTTTGACCTTGTAGTGGTATATATTCTGCAGGTTGAGTTGCAGGCACAGGTCAGTTACAAAAGTGAGTGGTAGGCAGAGTTGCCAGCCACAGCTCATAGAAATGGGTCTAATGGCTAAATGGTTAGCACTCCCACCTGCCAGTATTAGGGTTGTCAGTTCAAATCCCAACCATGGCACAACCTGCCTGGAGTTTGCATGTTCTTCCTGTGCCTGTGTGGGCTTCCTCTGGGTACTCTGGTTTCCTCCCATGCCCCAAAGACAAGCTGGTAGGTAAATTGGCCCTAGTATGTATGAGTTAGGGATCTTAGATTGTACGCCCCTTGAGGGTTAGGGACTGATATGACTATACAATATATATATGTGTAAAGTGCTGTATAAATGGACAGTGCTATATAAGTACCTGAAATAAATAAATAATGAGAGACCTAAGGCTTGGTTCACATCAATGCATTTTGCATTCTGTCCATTTTGCAGTGCTTTTTATATTTTTTGAGCGCTCGTTTTTGCTGTTTTACCATGTTTTTTTCAACTTTTTTTTTTCCTTTTTTTTTGTTAAAGGGGAAATGTTTTTTTTTTTTCTGGGCATAAAAAAATTGCAAAACGCAGCAAAAAACACACTACATGCATTTCAGCAGCGTGTCCATTGAACTCTATTGTGGCAAAAACGCTACTATTTGCATTTAACCTCCCTGGCGGTATTCCCGAGTGTAGCTCGGGGTAGAGTTTTAGTACCAAAGGCGGTAACCCCGAGCTACACTCGGGCTTACCATGCGGCGCTGCATAGGGAGTCCCTGCAGCACTTACCTTGTCCTTCGCTCCCACGATGTGTCCCCTGAAGCGTCCCCGGCCATCTCCTCCGGCTGATGCCGGCATCCGGCTTCTGTGTTCCGGTCCCTGTGACGTCGGGACGTACGGGCGGCGGCAGCGGCGGCGGGAAATTTGAAAATTTTAAAAAATTGCATTTTTTTTCAAAACACATTTTTCACAGTAAAACATTGCTGTTTCAACCCATTTCACATACATTTTGTCCCTAGTGCTTTGTCCTGTGCCCTGCCTACATTTTGTCTGTCTTTCTGCCTGGAAACAGAGAAAAATCCATGGTGTCCAAAAAATGTCCCTTTAGGTCAAAAGCGGTTTTAGACCAGCTAGAGAACAGCGATAGTAAATCAGAACCACTTGCAGAATTGAGTGATAATGATTCGTGGGGAAATTCGTCATCAGACACTGAAAACGATTTTACGACTTTGCTCAGCAATGTACGAACTTGGCGCTCTATTTCAAATTTCAGTGTTTTCGGTTTGATTATATTATTGAATTAAATGTATTATTATTATATTATTATTTTTTATGATTATTTATTAAATTATAATTTATGATTTCGTGTTTCAAATTTTATCATACCCGGGATGTTTAATAGACTCTTGTTCGGACAGATTTCAGTGAGTTATTCCTAAAAATTACAGCCTACAATAAAAAAACTACATATTTCCATGCAAAATAATGGTGTACCCCCACCGCTTTCAGCACCAAAAATCTGAAATAATCATACCGCCAGGGAGGTTAAAAATGTCCCCGACCCTATATAAAAATGCAGCAGCTCAAAAAAGCATAGATGTAAACGTATCCCATAGGAAACCATGTTACATAGACTGCAAAGCATTTCTGCAAAAAGCACTAAAAAACGCATTGGTGCAAACCAAGCCTAAAGAAGGAGACAGGCAGAAGAGTGTAAAATCTGTGTGCAAAAAAAAGATAACATTTTGTGCAAAGTGTATATGGCAGTGTATGACCGGCACTCTGAACCTGATACCAACCTATATAATTGGAGGCAAAAAAAATTGGTATTTCCCACAGGACCCTGATATTTCTTGCCATTTTCCACCGACAGTTGCAAGCAGGAGCGGACTGACAAGTCATGGGGCTCCCGGGCAATAGGAAATCATGGGGGCCCCTGTGTCCTCGCCAACACTCAAACCACACCAAAAAAAAAAGCCTATGAAAGGTATCAGGAGCATCTCATGGGGCCCCCTGCTGACCCCGAGCCCTTGTGTAGTGCCCGAGTGCTCGAATGGTCAGTCCGTACCTGGTTGAATACTGAATTTACTGTCTGCTGTGAGCAACAGTTGAGCATTTCTAGTCCTCAGTTCTTGTATATGAGAATAACTCCTTTCAAACTCATGTAAGTGATAGCTCTTCTGCTCTGCTGAAGTACTACAGGATCCATCTGTAAATGACAGCTTGAATTCCTCCACACTGTAATGCACCATATGGCTTTTTTTTAATAAGAATATTATTTGTGAACTTACCTGGAGCATTTCAGAGATGCTAAGTAAGAGCTCTCCCGAGCAGCCTGCCTGGCCAGAGAGAATAACTCCACCCTCCGCAGGAGCAAAGTGTTATCCCTGATACAGCATTGAGCAGCTGCTTCATTTATTGTCAGCTGTAGAGGAAAGAATAGAACAAAATGGACAGGCTGTAATACCGAATCTGTAGAATAGAATTTATCTGTACTACATACATTGTAACAGGAAAAAGATACCTTTCTTTGGTTGACTGAAGAAATTTTAGATTACAAGAGATCAAGAACACTAAAGCCGGCCAATACACGGTTCGAATTTCGAATTAATTTTCTTTCGAAAATCTCTTTAGTGGGTCACAGAAACGGCCGATTTTTGTGTGACCATCGAATTTGAGTGATCAGGCATGTTGGAAATTTTTTGAAAAACAAACTAATTTTGAATCAACGATGGGAGAATCGTGCAAGAAATATAAAGCTGTGACCTGGAAAGAAAGGAAAATTCTTGGCCACGAAATTTCTTTTCTGTTGCAACATGAGGAGAAATTGAAGGCTTGGATGGTCGAATTTTGAAATCAATGGTGGCACCATCGCATTACAAAACGCACAAAATTTACAGTTTTTTAAAGAAAATTTGTTTGGAATTCAACCCATGTATGGCCTGCATAAGGGGTTGATTTACTAAAACTGGAGAGTGCAAAATCTGGCGCAGCTGAGCATGGTAACCAATCAGCTTCTAACTTCAGCTTGTTCAAGTAGGTTTTGACAAAAAAACTTGGAAGATGATTGGTTTCTATGCAGAACTGCAGCAGATTTTGCAGTCTCCAGCTTCAGCAAATCAAACCCTAAGCTCTCCATAACTGGCATGGCATTATACACTCACCGGCCACTTTATTAGGTACACCTTCCTAGCGCTAAGAAAATATCCCTAACACCATTACACCACCAGCCTGAACCATTGATACAAGGCAGGATGGAACCACGCTTTCATGTTGTTTACTCCACATTCTGACCCTACCATCTGAATGTGGCAGCAACCAATCTGTTCATTTTCCTCTGACCTTTGATATAAACAAGGCATTTTCGTCCACACAACTACCACTCACGGCATAATTTCTCTTTTTTGGACCACTTTCTGTAAACCCTAGAGATCGTTGTGCATGAAAATCCCAGTAGATCAGCAGTCTTTGAAATACTCACACCAGCCTGTCTAGTACCAACAACTATGCCACGTTCAAAGTCACTTAGATCCCCTTTCTTCCCCATTCTGATGCTTGGTTTGAACTTCAGCAAGTCGTCTTCATGACATCTAGATGCCTAAATGCATTGAGTTCCTGCCATGTGATTGGCTGATTATCAATTTGTGTTACCAAGCAATTGAACGGGTGTGTACCTAATAAAGTAGCCGGTGAGTGTACAATACCTGACATCATTCCTGACGATGATAACCGAGTATTCTCGAAAGCCCACAATATTAAAAAAAGTTTAATGTCAGCAATTACTACATTTTCATGCTACTAATAATACCTAGCATGATACATAGGATATCCTGTCCTATATATAAGAGTTCTTCAATTTTTGACAGCTTTCATACCACAATCTCTCATAACTAGTGTCACTGAGACATATTAAAGTGGTTGTAAAGGCTCAAGTTTTTTTACCTTCATGCATTCTATGCATGAAGGTAAAAAACCTTCTCTGTGCAGCATCTCCCCCAGCCCCCCCCCCCTAATATTCAACTGAGGCCCCTCTCAATCCAGCGATGTGCTAGAGTCGCTGCTATTCTGGGACTCCCTCTGCTCTGAGACACCAATGGGGGCAATCACAGCCAGTGAGCCAATGAGAAGAGAGGGGGGGTGGGGCTGAGCAGCGGCTCCATCTGTGAATGGACACACAGAGCATTTTCTGGCGAGTACACATGCCTGGGTGCCCCCATAACAAGCTGCCTGCTGTGGGGGCACCCGACAGGAGGAAGGAGCCAGAAGCACCAGCGGTGGACCCAAAAGAGGAGGATCCAGGCTGCTCTGTGCAATACGTAATACATACGTATACATAAGTATAGACATGTTTGTTATTTAAAAAAAAAAAAAAACTGTACATTTTTGGCTTCATTGTAGTGAGTGGGTGTTTTGAAGAAGCTTCCAGAATTTAGGGCAGGGAGATGCAGATGACAAGTATGAATATTTATCATGCCCAGCCAATCCCTGGAAAGAGGTTTACAGAAGGTGGCTGGGAAGGGGATAAATGTTTTCAAAGCTCTGGGTGAGTGTCTTTCCTCTTCAGGGAGAGTTCCAGTCTCCTGGGTGTGGGGGAAGGGTGCTACTGCACTGAGAGAGAGTTTCTGAAACAGGACATTGTAGTCATCAGGAGCAGGAGGGCACAGACTGCTAAAGGAGTATTTGCTGGAGTGCATGTTTCTGAAGTCCTGGGTCTGAAGAAGGATCTTTTTATTTCCATCACTGAGGATCTACCTGTGGAACCTGAGTGGCAGACAGCTCCAAGGACATTGTGAGTAAAGACCTTTCTGTGGACTTTGGATGTGCTTGTGCTAGAAGGGATTTAAAGTGGCAGAGGTTGCATGGACTGTGGCTGTGCTGATAGAGTCAAAGATATACTGGCCAATCCTTGTTATGTCTAGGAAAGGATTTTTAAGGAGGTTAAAACACACCAATATTTATAGAAATGTACAATTCAATAAAAGCAGCAAATTTCACCATAAAAAGGCATGAAAAGAAGAGCGTACATGCTTGGTCAAGCACTCTTAATACACAGATGACATTTTACCAGAGATACATCAAATAATTATATTTGGACTCAAATTCAGACCAACGAAGAACATCATAATCTTGTGAAACACAATTCACTTCATCAGGAGTTTTGATGTTGCTGGCAAAGTGCCTAAAATTTCAAGTTCTTAATAACAACCCATAAAAGTAGGGGGCTGATGATTCCAGGTAACATGGAGTCAATCATCAAAGATGTCTATATGGGGGGGGCACAGAGGGGACAGCCACAAAAAAACAAGGGGAAGCAAACCAACAACACAGAGGAAAGAGTGGCTAGGTAGCAGGCCAAGGAATCAACACAAATTCCAATTAAATAAAGTATTGAATTTGTATGTTTTGTTTATATTAGTGTGTTTGTGACCTCCTTAAAAAACCCAGGGGCGATTCATTTTGTACTATTATTCTTCATGGGATCAGACCTTAAAAGTGAATGCACAACATACAGTATTACATCAGGCCCAGGTTCACCTCATCACTTTACTTGAATTCACAATTTGGTGAACAGACCCAGTTAGTTATGTAGCCACCCTGTCCTAAACCGGGGTTACTAGTCACATTTAGTTCTGCTTGGTTGTAGACAACCAATTTACAGTCTACTTGTTCATTTGGGTTTTCCCCTAAATTCAGTGGTGCTGTGGTTTGTAGGTGCTGCTGATACCTCTGGTATTAGTATGAGAATTTACAGTACAACTGACTGAATATTCATGCTTCCTATAGCCAGCCTGTAGAAGCCTAAAGGCCACTGATGCCTGTGGGGGGAGAGTATAAGTATTTGAGAGGGCCAAGTGATCTCTCTCTTTCCCCAGGCTCTGTCCTAGGGAGGGTGTGTGAGGAGCAGCTGAGGGATTAGGCCTGAAGTCTAAGGCCTGTACATGTGCTTGGAGCAGAAGAAGCCTGCCTGTCCAGTGAGTCCTGGTGCTTGAGGCTCTGTGGTCTGCGAGCCTAAGGACAGGAGAGGAACGGGTGATGTTTGAGGTTGTCACTCTGTCACATAAAGTCCCAAGTGAGGAACTTGTGGAAAGCCTGGGAAAGCATCAAGATGGGATCATTGAGACTGCTGCTACTGAAAAGATTTGGTTGCTAATGAAGACGGCTGTTACTAAAAGGTACAAAAATGCTGGAACCAGCTTAAAGACTCTTTCCTGTACTGGTGCCTTTGTTTTTGTGCTATTGAGACTGCATGCCAGTAACAGGTGTTCTGAACTCCTTGTCTCCCTGGAATTGTAGTGTGAGCAATAAACTCCTTTTTGCTTGTACCTTAAATTGATTGGTGCCCATTTGTTAACATCCCGGTATTGCCTCCCTGAAATGAAATGTTGCCCCACCCCTGTCTCTGGGGGTACCACCAAGCTTTCAGGGGTCAGGGGGTACTACAATTGCATAGGATAAGCATCTGCCTTTCTTAGTGCTGATTATTTTGGCCTGTTGTGTTACAGCAAGGTTCCAGGTAGGTCCTTTTCCTGCTCTCCGATTTCCACTGCAATGAGCACACGCCTCTTCTTTCTGCCTTTCTACTAAAAGAGCTGTCCTAATAGAAGCTGCCAAGCAGTATGCACAATTAAGTCTTCTGTATCAGGCCTGAAAACAACACAGACTCAAACAAGCAACTATAAAGTCAGCTGTGGTGATGTCTATGACTATCTGTTGTCATTCTGGCACAGAGTACTTACATATTGTAGGCTGTTACTGAGCATTGCTTGACAGATTTATGCTGCAATTAAGCACAAAAATATTTCATTTTAATCTATTTTATTTTCTAAAAATAAACTTGCGATTTACACATGAGCTGTGACGCTAGTCATAAAACTGACATGATGCATGATGTCACATTTATGTCCTTCAACTTATTTTTATGTCCGTTTTAGTGTAAAAAATAGTGAATGTAAGAAAGAATGATATACAGGTGAGTGCAAAATGTTCAAGAGCCATAGTTTCACAACACAACAGTACAATTTATCCTTTCCATATGGGTTTGACTAGAGGACAGAGCATTCTGAAAGATAAAGGCCATTGGGGTTTATTTACCAAGGGAAACAGACTGTTTACTTTGAAAGGGAACTTTTACTTTGCAAAGGAATACCTTATCATGTGCAAGTTAAGCAAAAAAAAAAAAAAATCAGTATTTTTACTTGCACATGATTTGATGATGGAAGACAGCAGAGTTTCACCTCATTCACTAACTAAAGGAAAATTTCCTTGCAACATGAACAACCTATTTGCCTTTAGTAACTCAACCCTATTGTGTTTGGTTCTTGAATCCTTTGACCCCTCTGGGCTCTTCCTATTAAAGTTTTGTAGTGTACACTTTTTTTCAGGTCGAGAAAATCAGTGCAAGGTATTGGATTTCAGTAGCTCCAC